GAGAGGATTTTTGGGCCTTGCGTGGTGTACATAGCGGATGACTGGTTGCCTTGGTCCTCTGATGTGAGACTTCCATGTCGACTCACCAGTCATCAGAGGCATCATTTAACTCTTGTCATCAATGTTTCATCCAGGGGCACAAAAAGAAATATGTCTTCCCCTTCCTCTCCCTGTCACTCACTCACTCCTCACTCATCCATCCATCCACACACACCTCTCCCTGTCCTGCCTGTCTTCCCCACACATGCATCCATCCATCCATGTCTCTCTGTCCTGCCTCAAACGCAAACTCAGCCTGTCTCGCTACAGACAGACAGACAGACGGCCTATCTGGGTGGCTGCCGCTGCCGCTGCCGCTGCTGCTGGTGCTGGTGCTGGTGGTGGTGCTGGCACATCACGAAGTCGAAGATGGTCACCTGAGAAAAGAATGACATACACAGGGATGTGTGTGTGTGCGTCGATGTGTGCTGATTGATGTGTGGTGCGCATACGTGTTGTGGCCTGGCTTGGTGTTCCGTTCTTCGAGAATGGCCTCGGAGAAACTGCTGGCCTCGCGATTCGACTTCACCATCTGCAACAATGTGGTAAGCAAAATTAGATGCGTCCTTGTCTATGTGTGTGTTGCTGCATGGTGTGAGCGGACCATGATGTGAAAGTCTTCGTGTGGCGACCGGGTCAGACGCTCCAGACTCTTCGTCAGGCAGCGCTGCTCCTGCCAGCAGCAAGCCATGCACACACACGGATGGATGGATGGAGAGAGAGAGAGAGAGAGATGTCAGCACGTGTGTGTGTGTGTGTGTCTCACGAGAGTGAGTGTGTGCTCTGTTGGCTTCTCGATGAGCTTCACCTTGACCAACGCCGCGCCCGGCAACACACTGCAGAAGCAACAACAACAACAACACACACAAATACACAAGGGAGAAGGCAAGTGTGTCTTTTCTTCTGTGTACCTCCTGTTGGCCTCGAGGGCCGCCATGTCCGCTGTCGAGTCGCCGATGGTCATGACGCGGCCGAAATGAATGCCCCTTCCTCTATACACCGCCAACAGATCCGCCAGACACGATACCTGCACAGAACACACACACACACGATGGCGCCCTCCCTCCCTCCCTCCCTGCAAACGTCCTTTGTCTGTCTGTCTGTCTGTCTGTGTTTGCCTTCCATCGGGTCGACGACGTCTTGCCCCGGCCGTTGATGTGGGCGTGCTCGCGGGCTGAGATGACGGGAATGCTCTGCTGCTGCAGCACACGGCGGACCTCCTCATATCCACCAGTCTGCAACGCCTCACGCAATCTGACGAACAAAGTCAAAGGCAAGGAGTGGCATATGGCTCCGTGTGTGAGAGTGTCTGGTTGTGTTACCATCTGGGCGACCCGTTCGACACGATGATGACCTGGCTGAGCTTCGCTGCCGTCCGCAGCAGGTCGGCCACCCACTTGCCGCCCTTGAGCGACTGCTGCTGCTGCTGCTGCTTGCAGCCTCTCACTACAGTTGTGGGAACTGACAAACAAACAAAGGAAGAGACATTCAAAGCAATCCATGAGTGAGTGTGTCTCTCGTGTATTGCTCACATAGGGTATCGTCGAAATCCAGTACGATGAGTGTGCCGTCAGCTGGATCATGTGCTGTCTCGCTGGCGGGCCGCGGGATGTCGACACGCTTATCATGTGGGTCGGGCTCAGGCTCGGGCAGCGCCATTAGGACGCTTGGGAGGGGCGGAGGCGAGCCAGGCCGACTACGAGGGAGAGAGGCAGGCACACTACTGCATGACCGACCGACAGACAGACAGACAGGCACACTCACTGAGCCGACTCAAGGAGAAAGAAGCAAAGACTGATCGATCGATCAATCGACTTAAGTGATTTGTATGATTCAAACGTTTCATTCATTCGTTCCATTCGCTCACGTGTACACAATACATATATACTGCAGCTGATCGAGTCGATCGATCGCAACCAGCGTTAGACAGACAGACAGACAGACAGACAACATGAGCCGCGAATTCGAGAGCTAGGCAACTGTCTAAAAAAAGCGCCATGCTTGACACTGTCAGTCACGCTGCATCCATACATACATACATACATCGATGGAAGACAAACAGTCATCCAACGAACGCTGACTGAGTGAATCGTCTCGCCAGCTGGGGCCAACCCATGCAGGATAAAAAAGACGACCACACGTATGTCACACCTGCAGCCGTTTCACCTGCAATGGTAACCAGACAGACAGACAGACAGACAACAAGACGGGGAGGGGCATTCATGCAGGCAAGTGCCTCTGTGGCTGCCCACCCACCTGTGAGGCGTGCATCTGCTGCGGACATATCGGGCACTTGAACTTGGCCCGGGCCGTGCGGCTGATGCGGTCCAAACACGCCCTGCGCACACACAGTGAGACAGCACAAACAACACACATCGCGCACGCATTGCATGTTGTGTGTTGGCTCGTCTGCCTTCGGCCCGAACGTACTTGGAGATGCAGTGTCCGCAGGTGAGTAGCACAGGTGGGTTGGCGCTTGAGGTCTGGGTGCGTGTGACGGGGCAGGTGAAGTGCGAGTGGAAGTGGAATGGGCGGCCGAGGTCGAGCTCGATAGGGATCTGGTGTGAGGTGAGCCACTCCTGCCCCCTGTCGCCCGCCACTCCGTTGCTCATCAGGTCCTGGAATTGCATCAGACGGGGAAGCGCCACCATACCCGCACACACCGCAACCGACAGAGGGCTGAAACCAGCCAACGAGCCAACCAAACAGAGAATCGTGTGTGCATGTGTTCCTTTGTCGCTTCTCAGCCCTCACCTCTGCTGCGGGAGTGCGATCCGTTCGGTTTCCTCCTCCTCTTCCATGTCATCGTTATTATCGCCCCGCTCCACCCCGCCATCCCTCGCCCCCTGCCCCTCCCCGTGGCGACCCGCCTCTGGCCGTGGCGAGAGGTCCTCATCTACGTTGAGGTCCGACCCCTCCTCGGCCTCGACCATGTTGTCCTCCCCTCCCTCGACCTCCTCCTCTATCTCATCAATCTCATCCTCGAGCTCCTCCTCCTCTTGGTTGATCATGTCCAGCTCGTCGCCCTCCTCGTGCTGATCGTCATCGTCCTGCTGGTTGCCCGTGTCGGGGTCGTCATCCGGCTCGTCATCGGGGTCGCCCCCTCCCCCTGGCGCGCCCGGAGCGGTGCCAACCATCCGTCGCCAGAAGTCGCTGGGCAGAGGGAGGGGCAAGCGAGCCGCCGCAGACCTGACGCGAACGAACAGACAGACGACAGAGCTCTCTCGCATTGTCTGGTGTTTTGCATGCAGATATGGATGGGTATCTACGTCACTTACCCTTCTCGGCTGCCGCCCTGTCTTCTGTCCTCGGGAGCCATCGGGCTGTCGTCTCCTTGCGCGGCCGTGTCTGGCGGGGGGTTGCCTGTGGCTGGGTGTGGAGGGGGCAGGTCGAGCATATCCAATAGTGGGTCCCGCGCCAGCGGGGGGATCGGTTGCGCAGAGGGCGGTACACTCAACGGCGGCCCGCGACGAGGCTGACAAAGGAGAAACCAGTCAATCGGTGAGGAGGTTGCCATCCATTCGTCACCCACCCAGTCACCGACCCACCTGATTGTTGTCATCGTCGTTGTCACCGGCTGACTGCTCTCGCCCCGCGGCAGCAGCAGCAGCAGCCCCTCCATCGGCAACAAATTCCATGGGCGCCGCACCAGCCTCCTCGCCGCTCCCCTCGCCCTCTCCCTCCTCGGGCAGGGGCACCAGGCGCCCAGACGAAGACGACACGACACGCACACCCACAGGTGCTGCTGCTGCTGCCGCACTTGACGACGATGCCCTGACGGACGGACACGTGACACAAAGGGGAGGTGCGTTTGTCCGATGGTGGGGTTTGGTGTTTCCTTACTCGCCGCTCTGTCCCGTCCTTGGCCTCCAGATGGCGGCAAGAGGCGGTGCCCGCCTGGCCACCTCCAAATATGACGGTCTGGGCGGTGGCGACTCCTCCTCAGTGCCGCCCACCCTGCCCCCGCCCAGGCTGGCACTTATCTCATAGACGAGTGCCCGCAGCTCCTCAGGGCTGAACTGAGACGTCAGCCCCTCCCGCAAAACCGCACTGGGGAGGGACTCCAGCCAACGCCGACGCCTGCCCTCACGCGACCGGCCGTTGTCCTGGCTCTCCCTCTCCCTCTGCTGTGGCTGATGCTGCTGCTGATGCTGCTGCTGCTGCTGCTGGCCGTCCGATGACGATGCTGCTGGGCCAGCACCGCCCCCGGCCAGCGCCTCTAGGTCAATCAGCTCCTCGAGGGCCTCTTCGAGTGCGTCCACCAGCTGGTCGATCCGCTCGGACGGCTCTGGCGATGGGGGGCCTTCTTGTCTTTCTCCGGGGTGTGTGGGCGGGCTGGGGGATGGAGAGGGCGATGGCCTGTCGGGGATGTTGTTGTCGCTGTATGAGGGCGTGGTGGCCGCCTCAAGCGCCTCTATCACTCGCTGTAGAGAGCGAGAGCGACCCGGATCTGACAGGCAACACAGTGCGCCGCATGTATGATGCCTCGGGCGCAGGTGTCTTGTGTGTTTACTCTGCAGGCCTTCGCGGAGAAGCCTCGCCAAGTTAGGCCCTCCTGTGGCGCCCGACGACTCCCCCTCTCTCTCCCCGTCGCCCTCCCCACTGCCCCCAAGCAGTCGCCTGAGCATCAGCAGCATCCGCAGCCTGTCATCCACAGACCTCCTGGTTCCAGCAACGAGCATCGCCATCGCCCGACCGCCCTCCGTCTCGGTCGCTGCCGGGACGGGCGGGGCGGCGCTGGCCGATGCAGATGAGGATCTGGCGGAAGCGTGTGTGTTGCCGCGCTGGGCGGCTGCCGCACTGCACGACGGTGGGGGGTTGGCCGGTGCTGCCTGAGATGGCGAGGGGAGGCTGGCAGACGGTTGTGCGGGAGGCACAGCGGCGGGCTGTGTTGACTCCGCAGCTGCGGTGCCACTAGCACCTCCACCCGGACCTCCCTCGGACCTCGATGCCCCTGCTGCGGCCATGACAGGCCCTGCAGAGGTCACTCCCAGCACCTCCATCGTGCTGGCGCCCATCTGCCCGCCCTCAGTGGAGCTGCGCGAGCCCTCGCCAGCCGGAGAGGCCGTGTCGGTGGCCACTGCCGCGGCCGACGCAGATTCAGACCCGACACGGCTGGGGGCCGTGGTGGAGCTGAGGGCGCCACGCTGGGAGTCGGATGATGACGGCCCTGGCGGTGTGGGCTCCGCTCTCTGGCCAGACGAGCGTCGGTCTTCCCCGCTGCCCTCCAGCTGTCCCTGGCCAGTGGGCCGCCACCCACCGCCAGATGAGCCCGACTGCTGGAAGGGGCGCAGCATCGCCAGCACACGGAACGAGTCGAGACCGACGCCAGCGCCTTCTGCCCCCGATGAGGACGACCGTGAAGCTCCCCCTCCCTCCCCTCTCGTGTCAGTGTCGCCTTGCTGTGGGGCGGCCGGCTCAGCACGAGGGATCGTGGAGCCCCTGTTTGCGGCGGCAAGAGCGGCATGCATCTCGAGATGGCCTGGCGGCAACGGCATCCCCACTGGTGGGAGAATGCGCGAGGATGCGCTTGAGGGGCCCTGCGACCTGCCGACGGTGTTGGCGGCGCTGCCGAGGATCGACGAGATGTCCTGCTGGATCTGGCCGGAGATGGGGCCCGTGTTGAGCCCCGCCACCTGCCGCCGCATGATGCGCTGCATCAAGATGGTCCGGATCTCGTCTCGCGTGGCTCTGAAGCCCATCCACCAACAGACAGACATCAGACACAATCGTAATCTGACAGAGCCGAAATGAAATGCCCCCCAGCTCTGCCCACGCACCTGTTTCTCATTCTTGCGGATGGCGAGCTGTGTGTGAAGGTGGCGCGTGTGCTGGGCGCCCTGTGCGGCGCTCCGCCCCCGCTGTCATGCACTCCTCTCCCTCCTCTCCACGAGGGCGTCGCGTGCCTCAGCGAGGGCGAGTCGTCATCCACCGACGGCGGCGGAATGGGCGGCGGCCCGTGCAGTCCGGCCGCCCACGGCGAGCTGCCCACACGGCTCGACATGCCGGGCGGGAGGGGGCCTTGGTGGGCCGATGCCATTCCCATTCCAGCACCGAAGCCGAAGCCACCAGCTTCCCTGACTCTGGTGTTGACGGGGCTGGGCCGCTGGCTCGTCCTGCCCGCGGCGGCACGATGGACGGGGAACGTCGCGCCTGGTGCGCTGGCGCCGCGCCGTCGGTCGTCTGCTGCCCTCCCAGCTCCCTCCGGCCGTCGGTCGTCGATGGTCATAATGGGTGGGGTGGGTGTGTGTGGGGGGGCGATGGGGATGAAGCTGCGGGTGTGGAAGACGGGCAGGGGGGGCGGCGGGGCGCCGAATATGAGCCGGTGGTGGTTGGATGATGTGTTGATGCGTGGGGGACGACTGTGCGGAGGGCGGCAACCCTCGCCACTCGGCTGATGGTGGAATGCTCGTGGCCGACTGAACGAGACGAGAGTGGCGGTGCTGTCTGGTGGCGGACCTCCAAGTATGCGTGAGGGGTGAGCCGCCGACTCCGTTTGCGCATTGCGCGTGATGGCGCTCCGCAGCCACGATGGGATGTTGAGCAGAGCCCCTCGACCGCGGCTCTCACCGGTGCGCGCACTGAATCAATCAGAGAGAGGGAGGGGAGGCCGGTGCAGTCCAACCATGATATATGTGTGTGTCCAATACAATACAGATGGTATGGCACGTACCGTCCCACACTGAAGACGGAGGACGGTCCCCCCATCCCTTCTGGGCCGTCGTCGCCGCTGCCCCTGCTGCTATGCCGCGGGCCTCCTCCCCCTCCGCCTCCAGGAGGCCCGCCTGGCCCCCACGGGTACGTACCATGGCTGCCGTTGGTTCTCGCGTCATCGCCATGCCTGCTCCTGGCTGATGACGGCCGCTCGCGCACGGGCGGTGACTTCCGACGCCCCTCACAAAAGGCTCTGAGGTGACCACCGACACGGACACGGACACAGGCAGGGGCGGAATGAGGAGCCGCTTCGCTCTGGTCGTTTCCCCTCTCTCTCCCTCTCTCTGTGTGTGTGTGTGTGTGTGTCGCTTACTTGAGGAAGTCTTTTCGTGTGTCGCGCCATTTGCGGGCGACGTCAGCCTGGCTCATGGCGTATGGTGAGTCGGTGTGGTCCCCGAAGGCGATGGATGCCATAAGCTTGGCGATGTCGGCCTTCATGTGCGGCCAGAAGGACGGGAAGTGCTGCTGCGCGTAGGCAAGACCGTCCGCATAGGCGCCCTTGCCCCCAGACAAGAGGCGCAGAAACTGACGCGCACACACACACAGAGGGAGAGGGAAGGTGTACGTCTGTGGTGTGTGGTTGTTGTGATGGTCACCTCTAGTTCGTGCAGTCTGAATGTGAGCTGTCTGTATCTGGCTCCCTCGGCCTTGCTGCGGCCCTCCAGCCACCGAAGCGCAGAGCTGACATCGCCGCCATCCAAAGCAGCCGATATCTGACACACACAAAACACAACACAACACCACACCACACCACACACGTGTCTCGCTGGGTGGGTGGTGGACGCACGCGGAGAGGCCAGTCGGCCGACGCACCTGATGTAGCTGCTTGTACGCCTCAATCATGGCCTCGGGCACCTCATGGTGGCCGCCGGTGGCCTCACCGCCACTGGCACTCGCACCCACACCCACACCCACGGCACCGTTTTGCTGCTGTTGGGCGTGTGTGTCACTGGTGTCGGCACTGAGCATCTCGGCGTCAGGGGCCTCTTGCTGTGGGTGGCTGGGCGGCTGTGTGCGGGGCATGTTGGGGTAGGGCAGACCCACAGACGCCAGCTCACCTCTGCACGGCACGGTGGCCAAGAATGAGCACCCGTGTGTGGTGTGCTGTGTGTCATCCGTGTGTTGCACGCAACGCATACCTAAAGACATCGAGCATGTCGAATCTGCCGTAGTGCAGGAAATGCAGTGCGATCATTTTGCCGATCATGCGCTCGTCGATGGGGATGGGCCGCAGCGCCTGGCACACGTCACCCACATACTGACGACACACACGCGCGCACGGCAGAGAGAGAGAGAGTGCGGGGGTGAGAGAGCGGGAGAGAATTGTCGCTGGCCATCGCATGCACAACAGAGGATGAGTGTGCTGTGCAGTGCTGTGTGGTGTTGGGCGGCCTGCCTGTTTGTCGAGGGACTTGCCGAACTTGGTGAGGACGCCATAGAACTCCTTATTCTCCTGCGCGACCTTGTCAGACACTGCCTGCTCCTGCGTGACGTGAATGACGACAACGCTCACACGGACCGAATGCAGTGCGTGTGGGTGCTCATCCTGACCTTGACAGTGCTGCTCAGTTCCGCCAGAATGGGGGCCGTTTCGGCCTCCTGCAGACAGACAGACAGACAGACACCGCACCAACAAACACAAAGCCATCCCTCCCTCTCTCTGTCTGTGCAGGTGTGTATGTCTCTCTGCGTGCCAAACAAACATACCGTGGCTGTGTTTGGGAGCTGGGAGAGTTTGTCCTTGGCGCTTTGTAGTGTGCCGATGAGTTTGTCGATGTTGGTGTGTATGCGTTCGTTGAGTGTTCTCTGGCGCTTGGAGACCCTCTCCAGAGCCTGCGGGAGGGTGTCCATCCCACCGCTCTGACACCCGCCGCAACGAACACGCTTACGACTGCACACACGGTCATCACACACACACACACAGAGAGAGAGAGAGAGAGAGAAGGCACATACCAAGATCATTTAAATGGTCATCGTGCTGTGCTATGCTTGTGGTGACCTGCTAGACTGCGACAGCTTAGTCAAGTGTGTCGGCCTATCAGGCAGCCACAGTCTGCCTCACGAGCCAACCAGCGAACGCTCTCGCCAGGCGACAACACAGCCGACGCACTCTATGCAGAATGAATCGCCGGCTCTCGGCCACTTCTTCGGGAGCCGGTTGAGCCTCCTCAGGTCAAGGCGGGTGAATTGGCGGCTGTAGCACTGCAGGAGGCGTCGAATGGGCGGCTTCGCCGATGACCTCTGATGATGACTCAGCGGACGAGACAGCGCTTCAAACTCACAAGCGATGCCACACCGACATGCTGATGACCTCGGAGATGGTAGCGTTGCTCGAATTTCCCCGTCTTTGTCTGCGAGCTATGCTTGCTTCAGCTCGCAAAATCATCTGTGGCATTTTTCGGCCGTATGGCGGGCGACTTTGATTCCGAGGCGCTTGCAAGGCGGCTGGAGGACATTGAGGCCTGCTTTGAGCGGAAGAACATCGAGAAGGGCGTCATCCTTCTGGAGGAGACGCTGGGCACTCTCAGGTACTGGATAATAGAATACATGCGGCGCCCATAGGAGGCTCTATGTAGCTCAATTGAGAGTCTACAGTCATTCCTCCATCCATTGATCAATGGCATTGTTCATCGTCTTCAATTGTCCTTACATGAATTGGTGTGCTGTGTTGATGGCCGGATTGTGGCGGCTGTCTGCAGGCCCGAGGACCTTTCGCCCGACACCGAGCCGGTGATTAGGTGAGCAAGATACACAAGAGACCGCTTGTCGGGATGGATGGATGGACGAACGATGTTTCATTTTGTCAGCCGTCTGTTTCAGCACTTGTTGATAGGCTACAACAGCCTGGGGATGCAGCAGCTGAGGGCAGGCGCAACGGAGAGGGCCCTCCAGCTGCTCAACTCTGCTGACGCCTTGACAGCGCCCAGCAACGTCTTCCTCGCACCGGTAAGGAAAGGTGTTTTGACACCCCTCACATCCCTCACACCATGTGTCTCTGCCTCTGTGTCCAGGTGCACCGTCAGATCCTCAAGTGCATCACGTTCAACAACCTGGGGTGTGCGTACAAGTCCCAGGGCCGCACACACACCGCCCTGCAGTTCCTCAAGGAGGCACTGAGGCGCGAGGCCGCCCTCCAGACCTCCGGCAGCCTGCCGCCGAGCCAGTCGGCCTCGACCCACCTGAACATTTGCACCGTTCTGAGCGAGATGAGCAGGCACCATGACGCCGTGCACCACGCCATGAGGGCCGTCAACCTGCTGCAGATGGCAATCAAAGAGGGCATTGACGAATTTCGAGAATCGGTGAGCGGCGCGGTGCCGCTAAATCTTCCTCAGGGGGCGATTGTGTCACCCTCAAGGCGGGGCTCCTCGGGCAGCAGCGCGCTGCCGCCACCCTTGCTGCCGGTGGCTTATTTCAACTGTGCTGTGCAGTACGAACACATGCAGCAGTTCGAACAGGCCATCAAGGTGGGAAAGAAGCAAAGAGGACAGCCGCCCGCCCCGCTCTGTGTCCCATTCTCTCTCTCCCTCTCTCTCTCTCTCTCTCTGTGTGTGTGTGTGTATGTGTGTGCCTGCAGTACTATGAGAAGGCCTTGGAACTGTGTCGTCTGGAAGAGTCGGCGTCGAAGGGGCAGCAAAAGGAGCAGAGCAGCAGCGGCGGCCAGCAGCATCCATTGGTGCCGACCATTCGCACGTCGATAGCGGAGGTGAGGCGGGCAATGGTAGTTCTGGAGGAGAAGATACGGTCGCGGCGGAGTTCGGGGGCATCGCAGTCGGATGGCTTCGCACACACGGGGAGGGAGAGGGGGGCGGGGGTGAAGACGGGGACCCGGGCGCACAGGCAGATGAGGGCGGCATCTGCTCAGTGAGCGGTCGAGCGGAGGAGACATCACATGGGCGGTGTCGACCATCGCAATTCTGAATGAAACACGAGATCGAACGACTCTCACAAAAAGAGTGTGTGTGTGTGTGTGTACTTATGATCGATCGACGAGTCTGTCTCCAGCAATATCACTCACTCACCGTGACCAACGAAATCGCTCTGAAAGCATGGTGAGGATGAGCCTCTTGATTGCCTCTCTCTGTCTGCTGGCCGTCGCTCCCTGCCTCTCTACCAATGCCGATCCCGCTGCTGCTCATCCACACGAATGCCGTCGTCATCTCGATGGACAGATGAGAGGGGAGGGCGGGCGAAAGTTTGAAGCTCTCTTCATCGAAGAGCTTGAATGGCTCGGTTGACGATGCACCAAGCCAATGATGTTGGGGGGCGGGCAAAACCACAGTGCGTGTCGGCGAGACTGGGCTCGCCACCGTCTCTTTCCGGCTAGCAACCCCAGCAGCAACCAGTAGTAGGGCGGCACAAGATGCCAGTGGTACAAGTGGCGAGATTTCTCGAGGGCAGGCGAGAATTCTCGCCGGCAGAGACAAGACTGTCACACCAGACCTTAATGGTTTCCCATCAAGCATTTCTGCCTGAGAGCTTCCAAAACAACTTTCGAACTACTGCAGCCCCATTCCCTCTCCCCTCCTCCATCGTGTGTGTTCATGATGACACCAGCAGCATCGGCAGCCCTCCCACATCCCCTGTTCGGCGCCAAAGTGCAGCTGCCATCCCCAGATGCATGGCGAGGGAGAGGAGCCGCTGTGCTCACGCTGAGCAAGGAGCTCAAGAAGGGCACTGATGGCACCTGCGTCCTCGTCGCCGACCGCGACCGTGATGGCAACGAGTACGTCGGCAAGTTCGCCCACCAGAACGAGACGCTGGCAGCGGTGAAGTCGGAGAAGAGCCGCTCGAGCTCCACCTGGACAACGCCCTCAAAAAGGGTGCAGACGGCGCTTGTGTCGTGCTCACCCCAATGGCATGTGCCTCCCATGACGGCAGCAGTTATGTTGGCAAGTGCTACCACCACGGCGACCACGCCCTCGCGCCGAGAACGTGTTTCTTCGAGAAAAAACTCTTGAGCATTGCCACGCATTGCCTCATGTCTTCAGCTCATTCGGAGGAGTTGAAGGAGGAGAGGAAGAAGCGGATGCATTCTGACTTGTCGGCTGTTTGTGTGTGTATGGATGTATGTGTGCAGATCGCCGCGCCGCAGCAGTTTCATCCGGCAGGCATCATGCCCATGTTCAGCTTGGGGACGTGATGGAAAAGGTCGCATTCGAAAAAGAGGTATTTATCGACATTGTAGCTGAGGTTTTCGACCTGGTGTTTGTCAGATCTTGGATCAGGTCGAAGACCTCAGCTAGAATGTCAGCCAAATGCACACACACTCAGGAGGCCGGCCACCCATTTTCACACGTGCGTGCCCTTCTGGTTGCTGTCGATTCGGCGTGCTGCAGGAGTCGAACCTCCACGTGGTGATGCGTCTGCGGGGCGGCGTGAAGGGAGCCCGCCAGGCCGACAAAAAGCAGCAGCACAAGGACGACGAGAAGGAGCAGGCAGGGGATCCTTTTCCCCCTCTCACGGTAAGTGCCAGGGAAGACAATGGAGCCGTGTAATGGACTCTGAGCTGTGTTTCTTGCAGGCGCCATCACCCCGTCATCCCCGTTCTCCACAAGCCTTTTACGCGGCCCAGCTGACGAATGGGGATCTAGACGAGGCCGCCGAGGGGTCAAACTGCAAAGTCGAGTAAGGGTGACTTCAAATGGCTTGATTGCTCTTCTGGTCACGGTTGTGCGTTGCTTTCAGGCGAACCAAGACACGAGGGTGGGTACAAAATCACCGGGCCGCCAAATTTGAGGGACATCTGTTTGGAGCTGCTCGACAAAGCGGTGAACTAAACACACAAGTTGGCTGATGCCCTGTAAAGTTTGTGGTCTCTTCTGACAGAACCAAAACAGGCTGGCGGAGTCAACACTCCAGTAAGGAAACCCCAAATCCACCAACACGTTGCCACGTGGTGCTGCATCTGCGGGGCGGCATGAAGGGAGTTGGCAGGGCCAACAAGAAGCAGCGGCCCAAGGACGACGAGAGGGAGCAGGCAGGGGATCCTTTTCCCCCTCTCACGGTAAGTGCCAGGGAAGACAATGGAGCCGTGTGATGGACTCTGAGCTGTGTTTCTTGCAGCCGCCGCCACCCCCTGACCCCAACGTCGGCTGGGCCCATTGTATGGCCCAGCTGACGATCTCGTTGGCAGAAAGACAAGAAGGCAAAAGAGAGCGAGAGAGAGAGAGTTTGAAGGGGAATTGCAGAAGAGACAAGAGGAGAGACAGGTATGTAGGCACAAAAAGCCACGCTGACGGATGGGGATCTAGCTGAGGCCGCCGCAGCCTCAGGGTGCATCATCGAGTGGGTGCCTGTCCCCGAGCGGTCCGGCTACTACTACAAGATGACTGGCTGCGAAGAGGCGAGGGAAGCCTGTCGACTCATGCTCGACGGAGCGGTGAACTACACACGCAAGTTGGCTGATGCCCTGTAAAGCTTGTGGTCTTTTTCTGACAGGACCAGATCAGGCGGAGGATTCAGCCAGCCAGCGAGTAAGGAAACCCCAAATCCACCAACAAACAAACACACCACACCTCTGTCACGTGTCGTCAGACCGTCATCGTCAAGTGCAGCACCAGCATCCGCCCCTGTCGACCCGCCACCTCCACACCCAGCCACAGGCAACCCCCCGCCACACACGGCGGCGCGAGGAGACACTGAGGCGCAGCGGAAGGCTGAAGAATACGCCGACATCATCCAAGTACGTCTGCTCTGTCCAATGCGCACTTATCGTCACAGAATCAGCGAATGCATTCGTGTCCCGTATGGCGTGTCGTTTGGGTGGCTGCCCTGACTTCTTCCAGGCTCAAGAGGACCAGATCTCCTTCCTAGCGGCTAGCGAATACGAGGAGCAATATGCCAACGAATGGCTTAGAGCTGATCTCCGGGCGCGCCAGGGGGAGGGGGCAGCCCCGATGACAAGCCAGATGACGAAGACCCCGACACGGGCAATCAGCAAGACCCCGGGACCACAGCCCATCGGCTGTCACATCTGGAGGCCCAAGCCACTGAGGCGCAGCGGAAGGCGGAAGAAGACGCCGAGATCATCCATCGGCTCCATGTCGATATGCAGGTACGTCTGCTCTATCCAATGCACACTTATCGTCACAGAATCAGCGAATGCATTCGTGTCTCGTATGGCGTGTCGTTTGGGTGGCTGCCCTGACTTTTCGCAGAGGGGCGATGCCGAGAACTCCTTCCTCGCCCAAAGCGAGTATGCAGAGTACTACGCCAACAACGAGCTGAGAGCTGATCTTGTGGCCGCAAACTCCGCCAAAACGCTGTGTGTGAGTGCACGTGTGTGTGGGAGCGACTGTTTGTCTGGTTGTGTACGGGATAGGCGGGTGCGGCCGGATGGGCCCCGGTAGGGGAAGGAAGAATCGCTGTCTTCATTTTATATTTGCCGTTTGTTTGCTTGCGCTACCTGGTTGGACAGAAGGGAGAAGAGGCCATCGCTGCCTGCATTTTATATTTGGTGTCTAATTACTTGATATACTCATGCGCTGGACGAGACATGCCTTGGCGTTGTATTGCCGCAACGTAACCGCTCTCTCGCAACACAAACGCCCCGACAAATCTGTCCAGCTCACCTCACAACACATAACATCGGTCCAGCATGGACCATATATCACATGATCAGAGGCATCCCATCGCCAACGCCAGCGCCCCGACCCGCAAACAGATTCGCAGTCTGCCATACACAACATGCAAACACAGAGACATCACATCACCCACACACCCTGGCATCAATTGCAGCTCTCTGTACCAGTATTCGCAGCTCTTCCTCGAGCGACCGTCTGGTCATCCTGTCACGCCCTGCTCCTGCCCCCACAGTATGCTGCTGCTGCTGTGGCTGAGCGGCCTGGTGCCTCTCATCAGACGAATGACGCGACAACTCTGACGATGACGAGGGATGCGGCGAGTCCGTCGCCTGCACACACACCGAGACCCAAAGCCTCTCTGTCTCTCCGTGTGTGTGTCTCTCTCCCCCCGATGTGTCTGGATGTGTGGCTGACCACAGCAGGAGGGGCCTATGCAAATCGGTTGGGTGAGCCTGGCCCGCCAGGAGCCTTGGCGGCAGTGAGGCGGGAGGGTGCGGACTGCGACGACGCTACCGTCATCAATTGGCGCCTGGACAAAAGGGAGAAGCGGTGGATGAGGGCGGCATCTGCTCAGTGAGCGGTCGAGCGGAGGAGACATGGGCGATGTCGACCATCGCAATTCTGAATGGAACACGAGATCGAATGACTCTCCCAAAAACTGTTTGTGTGTGTACTTATGATCGATCGACGCGTCTGTCTCGATCAATATCACTCACCCACCGTGACCAACCGAAATCGCTCTGAAAACATGGTGAGGATGAGCCTCTTGATTGCCTCTCTCTGTCTGCTGGCCGTCGTTCTCTGCCTCTCTACCAATGCCGATGCCGCTGCTGCTCGCCACGGCACCATGGCCACCAGCAAAGGTGTCTACGACCAACTGCCGGCACACATCCCCGACGCACTCTGCACCACACGCGCCCGGCGAGGCCAAGCCAGCATTGGCGGCAAGGCACTCAGACTCAACCTCCCGCCAGCATCACTCACTGACGGCCGCTATGCCGCCGCATCAGCCGCTGCATACGCAATGGTGAAGGAAGGGTGACTGACAAGCAGACATTCACTCAGTGTGTCTCTTGTATGCTGATGAATGGCAGAGCCAGCCAGTGCGGTGTGGGGAGATGTCTCGTGTGCGGTGTGCGTTGTCTGGCCGGTGCACCTACGACACATCACTTGGCACGTGCCGCGGCAGGATCTGCGATGACTACGCTCCCGTCGGGTACGCTAGCACACACGAGACATGAGACACAAAACTCATGGCGCATGGGTGGGTCAACAGGAAGACTTGGCGGGCGCGCAAGATGAGACGCAGTCCGATGAAGTCACAGATTCAGCGGTGCAACAACTCCGGCCAGTGCTTCTTCCAGGCACACATTCTCAACAAACAAATTGATGTTTTGTGTCTCTTTCTTGCACACCTGTGAGTGTGTGTGCGTGTCGTCGTGGTGCATGTCAGGACGACACATGCAAGCCCCTGCTACTCGACACAGAGACCCACTACACGAGCAGAATCCCAATCGGACCAAAGCCAACACGCTCGTACCATATGTGGTCAGTAAGCGCGTCACGTCATCGTCTGAGCCAATGGCATAACATGTGCCGTCACTCATCGTCTGGCCTGCAGGAATCTCGGGCGCAAGATTCTGGTGTTTCTGCGCCGCAATCTGCCAATCGTGTGAGTGACGGTCACGATGAAGTGGGACACACAGGCAGAGACACGTCTGTTGACTGACGACAATCATTGACGGCTGATGACTGAGTGAGTGAACCGAACACGTGCAGCGGTTTTGAAGCGCTCAGGCGCTCGGGTGGTGTGTCCACACACAGGCAGGGGAAAAATCACAGAGCAGAAATATAGCGGAGAGTGTCCATCCAAACGAATTGCGAACGCACAGGCAGCGTGCAGCCGAACAGCCAGCCGGTGAGCTAAGAAAAGGGCCTCTAAAGGCCTCTAAACGTCTCTCCCTCTTTCTCTCTCTGTCTGTCTAAACCGACGACAACCAGTAGAAACCTTCCTGTCTGTCTCCCCGACAACCCGGGGTGTGTGTGTGTGTTTGGGGTGGGGGAAGGTACGATGGAGGAGCCCCGAGAACCGACCGAGTCGGTAACTTAAAACGTCAGTCGCATCGTTGCGTCCGCGTGCACTGCACATGGTACACTCATGGTAGTGAGTGACATATATGGGTAAGTAGTGAGTGTCTACGCCCCCTCCCTCCCTCTGATGCATCACACCAAGTACTGAAAAAGATCGATGCGTACATCATATCATGGCCCCTCCCCCCTCCCCCGCACCCCTGCTGTGGTGTCCTGGGTGTGGTGTGCTACAGGCAGGCAGGCAGGCAGTCCCCCTACAGAGAAAAAGGCGGGCACACACACGACACGAACGAATATGGCTGCTGGCCGCCGCATACGCACACGCTATCCCTCTCCTCTGCCATGGCCAGTGTGTGTGTGTTGGGGGGG